CAAACTTACAAATAGCAAGGAATTTGAAAGACAGGAGTGGCTTAAAGCCTTACATATCAGCAAAGCCACTTATTGTAACTTATCCTCATTTGCTCAGGGAACCTATCTTGCATTTCCAATAGACAAAATAAAAGCAGGTGCTTAAAACAGAAAGCCTATGAGAAATGCAATAAAAAGTTATTGCTTAGTATTCATTATGCCCTATTCAAATTCACAATGAGATCTCTCAAGTCACTTGGAGCATCAAAAGCTGATCTCTGGCTATAGTACTATTGACCAGAGCCCCTCATATTGTGGTTGTGTTGAATCAATGTTCTTTTTTTTTTTTTAATTGTGTGATTGAGGGCTTCCCTTACCCCCAAAGGAAAAGAAAATAATAGCCACTGGTGCATTGTGGCACTTAATTCATATAAATGTATGCAAATTTAAAAGTAGTCAATTGATTGACATTTAGTCAGAGTTAGAAAGAAACCAATCGTGTGGCAAGAATATTGGCCAGGTGGTAACCCTAAGTAGTTTCCTGAACTGAGGATACAATTACCCCTCCATCCACCTGCTCTTTCTAGGGCCAGAGGATTCCCTAGGGACAAAAGAGGAAGCTTGCACTTGACTACACTTTAAGGAAGGGAGAGATACTCAACAGTGCAATCCTAAGCAGAGTTACACCCTTCTAAATTCACTGAAGCCACTCTTCAACACACAGAAAATTAAAGACTTAAAAGACACGACAGCAGATCCCCCAAAACAACTAACCATGGAGACCTGTTTTGGAAGGTGATGCATGTAAACATTAGTCTGTTGGGGCTATTAGGTTAGAGATTAATGTACAAAACAAGTGTAAATCTTGCTGGTAAAATTAAGCAGGGAACAAATAAAGCAGCGATGACTCTTCTCTCCAATCTTTTTTAACATACAGTCTTGACCACCAAACAGATCGCTTTGCCTGGGTGGCCTGGCATGCTTTTAGGACCAGTCTATGGCACTTTTTGCATCTCTTACAACAAACAATGGAAGTCTGACTCTGCACAGATACATCAAAATATCATAGAACTTGGTTTGGCATGTAGTGTGTCACGGGAGTCATTTAGTCAGAAAAATCTAGTGGCTAATTATTTATTTGATCCTGCAAACCTGGTGGATTCAGCGGCACGTATCACTTACACAGCTCCTGTAGCAAATGGCATTTCCATTTGCAGAAGAGGTGGGGATTTCCATCAATTTCACCCCCCCACACACACTGCAGCCCCCTATGCTGCTTGAGAGTCTGCTAAACTCAGGAACAAAATGAAGTCAGAGCAACTCAGTTGGCTGAGCAAAGTCACATTCTGTGAAGTCTGTGGATGGTTGGTTTGATTGTATCCTATGGTTTGAATCCAAACTAAATCAAACATTTCCAATGATTCCCTCTTCTCATTCTGCATCCTCATCTACTTTCTCGAGGTCCCCAGTTCTTCATGAGCAGCATTGTATGGAGATCAGTGAGCTACAGTGGGAGGGGGAAGGAAGGAAGTTTCTCTGCTGCTGCTGGAAAATTTAGCCTGAATCCAACCCCATGACTCTCTCTGATATAGTGGAATCCTGTATTCCTTTCTCCAGAACAAGACCCCCTCACTTAGCAGAAGGGAGTCATAGGATCCATTGAGGTATCATATTAGGCCCATCTGAAAATGAGACATTTGCAAAGAAAAAAGCAAGATTGATAAGGATGCTTCCAAGCAAGCATGGAAATGAAATTAGTAACTGCATATTTGTCTGTCCGTAATGGGAATAATTAAGATGCCATTAAGTGATGTGGGAAATATTCACCATTGTGTCATGAGGGATTAATGACGGAACAATTTGCAGTGGGGATAAAAGCTTATGGGTGCTTTCCCCTTCATTAGACAATGTAATGCTCAGAGGATAGTCATGTATTAAAGTCTGAATGTTTATTTTTATTTTTTAAAATATATATGTAAATAGTGGTGGAAAGTTGAAATTTGATCAAATAATGTTATTTGTATGAACTGAGCATCTTGAAGCCATAAACAAGACTGGCACCTAAAAGGAGCAAGCTTCTGTTTCTGTGGTTGCTCATCTGGAACAGTTGAGCTCTGAAGTTATTGCCTGATTTTTGGATTAGTTCAAAATATTTTCTCCACTGCCAAGAGCAGCTGATTCTCTCTCTTGTGTTTCCACTTACATCACAGGGCCTGATGATGTGTTTTGGGAAGGAGAAACAGAGGTGTTCTATGGAAAAGGACATACTACGAGACAATACCTTCATCTCTGAGGTCATAATTCAGAAGCAAAATGGCCATCATAAAGCCAGGGCTGCCAAACAACTAGGAAAAAAGTGGTCCGGTTATGCTGCTTGTTTTGGACTTGTTGCCAGAAAAACAAGAGTGCCATATCCCCCAGCTGTTATTTTTTTAAAAAACTGATTTTTGACAGGTTCTGCCCCAGACACAATGAAAAAATCCCAATAATGTCTCTAACACAGGCCCACTCAGAGATATACCCCAAGATCAGTCAGACTTAAAAACAAAACAAAACTGGCAACCTGTGATATCTGAGGTATGGGAACACAGTGTGCACAAACATACTTTCTACCTCCATGGTTTACTGCACAGTACCTTCCTCCATTTCAGGAACAGGGAGGCTAGTTTTATCAGATCATAACTTTGTTCTAAGATGTAACATTTCCCCCCATAGGGCTGAATGATAATAGGCAGACAGTTATGATGAGTGAGGGATTTGTTAGGGCAGAGATGACAACTCTTGAAATAATACATAATTGTTGTACCTTGGAGTTGTAGCCCCCAGAGACTGGTGGCAGCACCCAGGGCGGGTTGCAAGGTGGATGGAGGTGAAGCACAGCACAAAAAGTCTTCAGATAAATATTTTTAAAGGGACTTGCTTGTTTTTTGGATTGCCAGGGAGCATGAGAATCAAGAGGAAACAGGGCACCATGCTATGGATAAGGGGAATGTGCCCTCAGAAGGGACCTCTTCTTCAGCTGGTGAATGGGTATCCTTTTGCACCAAGGAACCATGGAATTCACTGCCACAGGAGGTGGTGCTGGCTCCAAGCATGGATGGCTTCAAGAGGGAATTAGATAAACATATGGAGGAGAGATCCATCAGTGGCTATTAGCCAGAAGGTAAAGATAGGAACTTTCAGACTGGGGCAAGTGATGCACTGTATTCTTGGTGTTCGGGGGGGGGGGACAGTGGGAGGGCTTCTAGTGTCCTAGCCCCACTGCTGGACCTCCTGATGGCACCTGGTATTTTTGGCCACTGTGTGACAGAGTGTTGGATTGAATGGGCCACTGGCCTGATCCAACATTGGCTTCGCTTATGTTCTTATTTGAGTGGAGAGTGAATCCACTGGGGAAGTATGTGTGATAACCTCTGGTTTCCTACTGTTCCGAAAGTTCTATGATTAATTTAATGTACTGAGTGATTACACAGGCCTGTTCATTTACAGAGTTGCTTCATGCATTGTTCAACAGGCTATGGTCACAACACATATCCTTATTGTTACTAAAATCCTCATTTGAAAATCATGTATCAAGTAGGGTGTGCAACTGTTTTCCATTCTGTGGAAAAGAATTATGAATGCACAGTGCCACTATTGTACACCAAGTTTAGTTTTCTTTTTTTTTTAAGCATTAAACTGTCCTACACACTTGGCTTGTAGATTGGGTTCAACAGAACATATGAATGCAAAAGGTGCTTTCAGGTATTTGGAAAATGAGGTCACTGTTCTTTTTGAAAATAAGCGTAAGCGGTATAAGTCCTGGGCGTTCCACTGATACAGTCTTTGGTACAGCTGGCCTAGGGTACAAGATCCATCAACACTTAAATGTCAGTTCATTCAGGTTTCAACAGGGAGAGCTATGGCCGAGTCAGGAAAGCTGGGGTCCCTGAGAATTTGGAGGCTCAGGGATATGAGGAGGCAAGTAACTCCCAGGTTGCAGGCGGCAAGCAGCTCCCCCAATTTGGGGCTAGCAGGTGCTACTTAAAACTGTAGCACAGAAGCACTGTTTATTGGTGAATAAAACCAGCTAATGGGAAGATTCTATTTCCATGGGCTACCATTTGGCTACCTTGTTGTAAGGGACAGACCTGATTGCAATATCCTGCATTGGGGACAGCCCTCTAACCTTACCAACTGAAGCCCTTGTCCAGGTTACTTTTATGGTATCCCCTCTCCCTAGAAAGGGATTCTGTTCTGCGGCAGTAATTCCTTCTGTCCATTCCTGTAAGTCCAGCTCATTTTAGAAAAAGTGTGAATTATTTTTAATGCATCAAAAGTGAATCATGGCATGGTAACAAACCATTTTAGGGGCTAGTGTCTCATCATGAATTAGAAAAAGAATTGTACCTTATCTGTCCTCCCTACCCTTTTGTTATATCCCTAGGAAATGTTGCTGCTGCTGATAAATGGACTTGGTCCATTTTCTCTTCTCATTTACACCAAACATCAATGGGAATGACCAAGGCACCAGCAAATTTCTACATGCCCCGTGAACTGGATAAACAGAATTCTACTAACTTCTTGCACAATTATGCCAAAAGGAGCCCTGCTCCCAGGGTGAAAAGTTTAGGTTTTTGTTTGCAATCAAGAAAAGCATGGCATTATCTACGAGTAAGACTAAAGGTGTAATTGAACATCCTCATCTATAATACAAAGAGTGTACTTTCATGACAGAAAAGGATAATTGTAGTCTTTAGTTGTTTCCCTACTTCCAGTATTAAACATATGACAGTGAAATTTAATGCACACCTAAAATCATATTTAATCACCTTTGGCTATATTCTATGGTGATTATTACTAATTAACAATCAGCTTCTATACTTTTCTGCATGGGAAAAAGGAAGTTATGATGAGTATGAAAAACTACTTGTTCAGTTAAAAAAGCCATCAAGATGTAATGTGGGACTTAACAAGTGTTCAGCATGCAGCAATTGACAAGGCCCTTACACCACACCAATAACGCGCAAGAGCCATAAGTGTGCCCCAAACAACATCCTTTAATCTGAGATCAATCACTGGACACAACAGATTTTCTGAACAGTGTCAACATAAACCTCCCCACTCTGCATGATTACTGACATAATTTGAATAAGTGGTTCTGGAGCCAGTTTTCACAAAAGGCAACAATGCTTTTTCAACACAACATTGTGCTCTTAGTTCACGGTCTCCTTTTTGTTGTTCTTATACAAAGATTTCTTGCATGTTAGCATCAGCAAGAGGAGAAGTGGCAAGTGCCAGAGGCTGCAAAAAAATAACTTCCTGGAACTGCTGCGGTCTGCATCCCTGTAGAAACGAAAGCCAAGGTAGGAAATGTACAGATTGATGGGAAGAGAAATTATGGGGAAAGTCCATGTGGTGACATTAAAGATGGGAGCCACTGACGAAAGTCCAATTAAGGCAAAACAGTGCCGGAGAGCCACCCGCCTGCACATTGCTGGGTGAGTGACAGACATCATGCAGTAGCCACCTCTGGAATAATCTTCACGAAGGCCCCAACTCAGTGCGTTGAAATGAGGGAATTGCCATGAGTAGAGGATCCCTCCCAGTACCAATGCTCCTGTAGAAAAAGAAATTAGACATTACAAAGCTGACCACCAAACTGAAAATTCAGACACTGTGGCTGAGGTTTCTTCCTGTTCTCTTTATAAGTTATATAAGTTTATAAGTTATATGTGCATAAGTTTCATTAATACAATCAACTCACCACAAGGCAGTGATAGGCTGGGAAAAGTTGATCTGGTTCCTCTTTTAGCCATGAGGCTTACTAAATGTCAGGCTGTTTGTGCTACATAGGCTGAAATCTAGGCATATGAGGCCTGACAAAGCTTTGATTTCACTAGCATGCTTGTGGAGTAAGAAAATCTGTAGGCAATAGTTGCAAAGTGCTCTGAAACCAGAAGGTACACGTGGAACTTTTAGTGGCTGCAGAGACATTTCTGAACTACTTGTTAACTCTGGGTGCGTCTAGTCCCTTTCTGGAAAGCACCCTCATTTAATCTACAATTTTTCTTTGCATTTGAGATTGTCATAATTCTGATTTCACAGTCTTCAGACTGTAGAAAGCCAGAACTCCTCATTTTTAGCAGCCTGGGACCTAATCCACTGACAATAGAAATTAACACCCCCTCCAAACCCACTCTGCAACAGCATCCAGTCAGGAGCTACCAACCTAAACTTCCTAAGTTATCATCATCTCTCCTACACCATGTTTAGAAGATAAATGCAACTGTTAACTATTCATGGTGTTATTTAGTGGAAATACAGTAAACCTCTTGAATACCTCCACCTTAAGAAATCATTTCCCCTCCTGCTGTAGAAGGACTTCCTCTTTGTTTCCCCCCCACACTGGAATTCACTTTTTTAATTCCTTTTTTTAAATGCTAAACTCCTTAACACAAAAGCTGTCTTCACATGGCCCAAACTAACTGTTGAGTCTGATCCACTCTACACAGGGTTTTCCTCAGGGTACAATAAACACTTAAAACGGATTACTGGATAATAGATCTGTGATAAAGTTTGAACTACAACTATCTACAGTAAACTACACCAGACGGTCACCATCAGAATGTTAGTTTGCTGAATGTCCCCCTTGGGTTCACTGAGTAGGAATACATGAATCCAGCCTTACAGTAGAAACATGATTTAGCCCAACCAAAGGTTGATGTTGGCTATGTGAAACTGCCCAGTGCTAACAAGCACTTATCCATTCCTATATTCTTTTCAGTTAAAAACAAATATCTGAAGGTGGATCTCAGGCTAAAAAGTTTCAATTGTTTAGCATTCAGGGCCTATTTATTCTATCTGTGAGTTATTTATTCTCCTAAATTTGAAGCAAAAGCAAGAATTAAAAAGGCAAACATAGTACCAGTCTAGAGACACCATCAGCATAACTGCTAAGATAATTATGGAATATTTCTCCACAGTTGTAGTTTATAAGGTCTCCTCTCAAAGACTAATGTGGAATTTTATTCTCTTTCACGAGATTTCCTACAGGAGCTCAGCAGCTAATACAGCAGCTTGAATAGCTCAGAAAATGTAATAATCAGAAAGTGCTATGCCTTTATCCATGTTCCCTCTAAGCTCCAATTAGTATTAAAATATAGTTTAATACTAATTTAATACTAATTATACCTGCTCCAGTCCACTATATTTATAGACGTGGCCTTAGATCTTCGCCCTGTGCTGACCCTTAGAAACATATCAGCACTTAGGGGGGGAAAACTGTTGCAGTGAAATATGAGAACTAGCATTACAGGTCAAGTATAAGAGAAGAGCACAAAAGTTTTATACTATTGCATTGCTTAAGGCATCTATGTTTTATTGTATTTTAACCTGTAGTAAACCGCCCTTAGCCTGCCCAGGCGGGGAGGGCAGAATATCAATCAAAATAAATAAATAATAATAATATAAAAAACTAAGATCATGGCATCCAGGCCCAATAGAAGGGGACGTCATGGAAGCAGTGACAGAATTTACGTTCCTGGGATACAAGATCACTGCAGACGGTGGCTGCAGCCATGAAATTAAAAGACGCCTGCTCCTTGGGAAGAAAGCTATGGGAAACCATGACAGCATAATAAAAAGTAGAGACATTACACTGCCAACAAAAGTTCACATAGTCAAAGTGATGGTATTCCCAGTAGTAATGCATGGCTGCGAGAGTTGGACCATAAGGAAGGCCAAGGGCCGAAGAATAGATGCTTTCAAATTATACTGCTGGAGAAGACTCTTAAGAGCAATGCTCCCAAGCTGTAGAGTGAAAGTTGTGAGTGAGTGATTTGGCTACTGCATAAATTAGTTTGCTCTGGAGCAGTGTTCCCTCTAAGCTGAGTTAGTGTGAGCTGGCTCACAGTTTTTTAGCCTCCAGCTCACACATTTTTGTCGTAGCTCAGGAAGGATGGCTCCAGAGGAAACTAATGTATGCAGCAGCCACATTGCTCACTCACAACTTTAATGCCAGTAGCTCAGAAAGTAGAATTTTTGCTCACAAGACTCCACAGCTTAGAGGGAACATTGCTCTGGAGTCATCCTTCCTGAGCTAAGGCAAAAATCTGTGAGCCGGAGGCTAAAAAACTGTGAGCTAGCTCACACTAACTCTGCTTAGAGGGAACACTGCTTGAGAGTCCCTTGGACTGCGGCATTTCCAGTTTGCTTTGGTGCTTTCAGCTGCATCTTGGGAGAGCTCCCGAAGATGTGCTGAGCTGCTCCATTTTTTTGGGGGGGGGGGCTGGAAACCTCCAGACCCTAAAGAGACCCTTGTAGGGGGTCTCTGAAGCTTGGGGGGTGCCTTTTTGGGGGCATTCCTCTTGGTTGCATCCAGGAGTTGAGTGTTCTGAAGAGAACCCTTTGCCCCTGTGGATGCCATGATTTATGGCAGTCAGCTATGGCTCCGGAATTAACAGCATGGACTTTCAGACTGAAAACTTCATTCTGCTTGTGACTTCTCAGCTTTGAACTGTGAGTTACTGCCCAAGATAAGCTCTTCCGGCTTTTCTCTAATTGCGGTCCCAGCTGCACAACTCGAAAGGATTTGGAGGAGAGGGGAAGTTTGGCAGACGACCAACCCTGCAAGAGTGGCTCTCACACGAATTCTGAGTACAGAGATAGAGTCAGCCAAATTGGAATATTACCTGGATTTTAAGCTGCTCAGAAGTAGAGAGTAAACAGAAAGAAGATTTGTTTCTTGGACGTTTTCTGAATATCACCCTATATTCCTTTTATCGGGAATAAGTACCTTCCTTGGCTTTGAAGATTTTCTACATTGCCTGTGTGCTGGATTGCTGAATATACTTTTAACAGTCTTACTCCCTCTCTACTTTTTTATTTTTAATCTCACTTTGACTTATTTTAAATAGAAATATGATCTTGAGACTATAAATGCAACTTTAGAAGAAGCTTTTTGTGTGTTCATGTAAGGTCCATGGTGCTTAATCATTCTACTATCTTGTTTAGACTACAGGAAGAGACAGAGGGACTCATTGCTAAGAAACTATGCGTACTTGTGTTTAACACTGGAGCCTTTAACTCTTGACACTCCTGCTCTAAAACAATAGGAAGTATGCTAGTACAAGAAGCATTGACAGACTTACAAAACAATTTGCAATCTATGTTTCAAGTCAGCTATGGGACAAACCCAGAGTGTTTTGGCTCAGCTGGCAGAGCAAATTAAAAATTTAAACACAGATGTCTCGCAATTGAAAAGGGAAATGAATGTTTTTCAAATTCAATCAGTAGAAAGTAAGCATGAGACCCAATAAATGGTAGTTGAAATGGCAATGCAAAAACTAGACAAGGTAAATATTAAACAAAAAGCTATTTGTAACTTTGAAATTAAGCTCGAAATGGAGAGAGCAGCATGCGTGCTGAGAATGGTTCTGAGCAAAAAGGAGAAGATTGGATAACAGTGATTATAGAAGTCTTGGAAGAGGAAGAGGAGTTTGAGGAGATTGTAAGAGAAATTTACTTGATTTATAGAGCCAATTCAATTTATGTATAAGGTACTTGTAAAATTTATAAAGCATTTAGTAAAATGGAAGAAGATCTGATTAAAGATTGTATGATTAACTGGATGTAAAATTTAGAGTGTAATATTGTGCTTGCACAGTGGAGTAAACTGTAGAGAGTGAATGTGAAAATGACTAAATTGGTTGTTTTTGAAAGAGAATCTGTATAAAATGTTTTCTAGATGGCATTTAACACTAGATTAGATAAAATGTATAAAGATAAACCAATTAGTTGCTGGTTGTTTATCAGAGACAGCTTTGTAGATTTTATTACCTTTTAGATCAGAATTGTGCTTTTTTGAATTCTATATTAGACGATTTTGACAAAAATCAAAGATATTTTACAATTTAGGTAATAATAGCAGCTAGAATCTTTTTTGTAACTTTTTGGAAGCCTCCAACAATACCTGTTGAACAACAGGATTTAATAGTGAAGACTATGGAAAACTGAAGTTGAGACAGCTTTGTTGAATTTTCACAGCACAGTAGACACTCCTTGAGGTTGCAGCATATTTGACTGCCAGATAGGAGGGAGCAATCATCCTGTTTTATTTGGCACTGATTAGAGCTCAGTTATGGTGCTGGAGAAGACTCTTGAGAGTCCCTTGGACTGCAAGGAGATCGAATCAGTCAACCCTAAAAGAAATCAACCCAGACTGTTCCCCGGAAAGTCAGATATTGACGCTTAAGCTCAAATATTTGGCCACCAAATGAGAAGGGAGCACTCACTGGAGAAGACCTTGATGCTGGGAAAGATTGAAGGTAATAGAAGGGGACGAAAAAGGATGAGACAGTGTTACTGATGCAAGAACATGAAATTGAGCAAACTCCAGAGGATGGTGGAAGACAGGAGGGCCTGGCGTGATGTGGTCCATGGGGTCGCAAAGAGTCGGACTCTACTGTGTCACTGAACAACAACAAAATAAGAGTGGTAGAACAATCACTGTCAGATCCCTGCCTAACCTAACAAACAGGAAGTTGCTAAAATGTTATCAACCTGCTCAAACTACTTATTTATTCAAATATTTATATCCCACTTTTCCCTGTGACTCAA